TGGACGCTGGTGGCTCATGCCTGTAATCCTAGCTACTGAGGAGGCTGAGATCTGAGGATCACAGTTCAAAGCCAGCCTGGGAAGAAAAGTCTGTGAGACTCTTATCTCCAATTAATCACTAGAAAACCAGAAGTGGTGCTGTGGCTCAAGCAGTAGAGCACTGGCCTTGAGCTGAAGAGCACAGGGATAGCACCCAAGCCCAGAGGTCAAGCCCCATGACTGACACAAAAAAATAAATAAATAAAAATAAATAAAATAAAATATACACTGGATAGGTACTGAAAAAGGTTGACAGAAAATGATTGGATGATGGCTGTGCTATTTTTATTTTTCTATTTTAAATTTTAAAATAATGAGGTCAGGCACAGTGACTTATACCTGCAATCTCAGCTACTTAGGAGGCCACAGTCAAGAGGAATCTGGTTTGAGGCCAGCCTTGGCAGAAAGTTAGCAAGACCTCCATCAACAAACAAGCTGAAAATAACTGTGCATGCTTGTGATCCCACCTACCTTTTCAGGAGACTGAGGCAGGAAATTGTGAATTTGAGAAAAAAAAAAACAGCAAAATCCTGTTGGTGCCAAGCAAAACTCAATCTACAAAGAAGAAATAACTAACTTATTAGAAAAATGTATAAGGAAGTCCTTGTTTCATAGGCTCTCCACTGTGAGTTCTATCATTTGAGGAAAGGTTTTCATTATATCCCCATGTCTTTGTTAACAGAGCTCTAAGACATGTCTGAGAAAACTGTAGGCCCTGAGCCATACACAGAGAATTAATAGAATCACACTGTTCCTGAGGCTGGGAACAGTGGTAGAGGCTGACACGTACTCCACATTTTTTTGCATCCATTTCTCCAACTGTTTGGTGATGTGCTGGTGTTTCCACTCAGTCATATTGGCAACAATCACACCAGGATTGAAAGAGCAGGTACTGGGGCTGATGCCAAGGTCCTTGATGGTCTTCTTCCGGTAGTCCAGATACCCCATGTATGTGTTCTGCCAAAGAACAGCACAGCAGTGTTTGTTTCTAGAAAATCACTTTCTTGAAGCCACTGTGCAGCACATCTCTGGGCCACCTCCTAGTTCCCATTCGTTTTCCAGCCTTGTAATGCTAACTGCTCCCATTTCAGTGCCAGGACTTGTTCCTGTATCTCTTGACTCCATAGACAGTCCCAGGGCAAGCCTCAGGGTTCTACCTACCATTGGCCCACTGCCCTTACTCTCCTTAGGCCTCTAAACTCCTGCAGCAGCTGCCAACTCTATCTACTTTGGCCAAAAAATCCAGGCTCATTAATTCAGCCTTGACTACTTGCTTCTCATCCAAGTCTGCCAACAAATCATGTTGGTGTCAGCTCCACAAGATATCCAGAGGCCAGGAGCTGGGCTGGGATTTGTGGTACAGCACTTACTGAGCATGCACAAGGCTCTAGGTCCCACTCCCAGCACCCCAAAAAGGAAACCAAGCAAAAGAGTAACTCTACTAAGAAGCTACCTGGTCTCAGTCTCCAGCACTACCTTCCCATTGTAGCCATGGTCATCACTCAGTCACACAGTTCTCCTCACCATGTTCCTAACTCTGACCCTCCATTCAGCCCCACACTGCCTCCATGTCACTCATCCCAAAGTCTTGCTAGTGGCTTCCCTTCTCATTCCTGGTAAGAGCCACGACTTGGGTGGCTTTGTTCATGAAGCCCTGGATTTGCTCCTCCAGAGCTCCTCATATGGCCTCCCATCCCCACACCATTTAATACCCATTACCTCTCTACCTTCTGTTCCTCTCCACTTTGATCCTTCTACCACAGTAACTAGTTTTAATACTCTAGATTGCCGGCCATACTCATGTCTGAAGACTTAGCACTTGCTATTGCCTCTAACTGGAATGCATAGGTGCTTTTCTCAATCTTTTCAAACAGCACCCTTCTGGTAGAGTCTTCTCTGGTCACCCTACTTAAGATACAGCCTCAGCAACATCCTGATTCTGTTAGATATTTTACTTGCTTACTTCCTGTCTCCTCAAACTTGAACATAAACCATACAAAGGGAGGAACTAAGTTTTGTTTACTGTATCACTAGTACCTGAAACATAGTAAACACTCACCCAGGTAGACTGTCAATGTCTACTTAGTGCAAGCTCTCCTCTATGACAACTAGAGCAACAGAAATACTGGAGTACTTTGTGTACCAGGTGTGGCTCTAAGAATTCCACATGCATCGCTTCATTAGCTGCACACAATAATGTGTGTATTTATAAATTCAGTTCTCATTGTAACTCTGCACAGGAAGTACTGTCACCTGTGTGTGACCAAAAGAGCAGGGGAATGACTGGCTAGGCGACTTGTGATGGGTAACACAAGATTTTGACCAAGTTGGCTGCCCACAGAGCCTAGGCCTTAATGTGTTTTAAATGCCACATATAAAAGTGTTTACTCGATCTCTTTTTGAACAGACATCAACTCTAATAGTTCCTTGAATCGCAAAGCTATGTTTTGAGTCCAGTACTTATTACATATAGATTCAACTTTCCTCATTTCTGCCTGGATAAGGAGGTGCTCACCCTTGAACAAAATCTAACTGTCCTCTACTGAGAGATTAAAAAACCAATCATGAAAACTCTGCAAATAGAACCCAAGGTTCTCTGAGTCTCTTTCATAGAAAAGCCCATCTCTGACAGAATAAGATTATGAGTCACTTCACAACTGTTGTTTCTGGAACATTTACTGTGAGCTTGACCATTTGTAAAAACATAATGGGCCTACCACATTTTTGGTGGGAATGCAAACTAGTACAACCACTTTGGACAGCAGTCTGGAGGCTCCTCAAAAACTAACACGGATCTTCCCTACAACCCAGCCATACCACTCCTGGGCATCTACCCTGAACTTCATGAGCCAGGATATGATGACACCTGCACATTCATGTTCATTGCCACATTGTTCACAATAGCCAAGATATGGAACAATCCCAAATGCCCCACAATAAATGAGTGAGTCTAAATTTCCAAAAAAGTGAGTAGCCATTAGAAAAAAATAAAATAATGTCATTTGCAGGAAAATGCATGGAACTAAAACAAATCATGTTAAGTGAGGTACGCCAAGCTCAGAAAGACAAATGGTGCATGTTCTCTTTGATATGTAGAAATCTGATCTAAAATACACTGGGATATGATAAATTATAGAGGACTCTAGATAGTAACATACAGTGAGACCAAAAGAGGATATTCTTAGGAGAGAAACACAAAGGCACAATGCCTAAGTGCCTCTTCATATTTATATAAAATAATATACATATTGAAAAAAACTCCAAGATACAGAAACAAGAGACTGCCTTTGTTTTTCTTCCTTTCTTTTTAAAATTATATATTATATAATTATACATAGACTATAATTATAATTATATAATATAAAATGTAAATATATAATTTATAGTTATATTTTATAAATTTTAGTTTTTCATGATTTTTGTCTTTTTACCTTATGTATGGTATATTCTAATGTGTATCTTTGGAAGGGTTAAGGGGAAGGTACAGAACTCAAGGGAAAAAGAGTGAAAAAGTGCAGCGGTGGAGCTCACTGGACATTGATGAAAGTAAACTATACAACCTGTAGGTAGAGATGAAATGGAGAGACTAGGAGAGAATGAGGGAACAGAAGACACTGTATGAAAGAAAATTTAGTCAATTACCTGACATTTAATTATAATTCCTCTGTATATCACCTCTATAATGACAATAAAATAAAGTAATAATAAAAAATAACGATAAGACTGTAAAATACACAACAGAATAGCCAATGTCAGCGCCATGGTTTAGAATAGGAAAGTGGGATTTTTCAGAGTTAAAGCCCTGGCCTGAACAGGTTAGAATGCTAGAAGGCAAAGAGTAAGTGGAAAGGCCGGTCATCCCTTTCCCTACCTGGCAGTCCCTGCTGGCTCTCAGGGATTGTGAGTTGCAAAATGAATTCCATTCATGTTGAGATGCATGGAAGGGGAAGAGTCGGGACTAAAGGATAATTTCAGAGACACTGTGCCCACCTGCAGCCCCACAAGTTTGTCGATGTCCTGAGCAGGTGGAAAGTCGCAGTCATCTGAGAAAGCTGCTGCATGTCCTACAGCCAAGGTGGTATCATATAGTTCCTGGATATCACCTGGATTTGGAAATGCCAGCAGTTAAAATACAGCATGTGTTTTGGAATAGCTCAGAGCTAGAACAGTTCCTGACTGTGCTTGAGGGAAGAGTATGGGTCTCTGATTTCAAGTGTCTTGTAGTCTGCTTAATAAGAATAGCTGGTATCAACTGAATGCATTGACTCAAGCCCCCCAGCTATGGGGGAAGCATAGGTAGGAGGATCACATTCCAGGTTAGCTTGGATATGAAATGTGAACTAGCTCAAAAAATAACTAATGGAAAAAAGATCTGGACCTTTGGTTCAAGTGGTACAGTGCTTGCCTAGTTAACTGTAAGATCCTGAGTTCAATCCCTAGTACTGCCCCTTCCCTCAACCCCAATCCCCCTCCCCCCATAAAAAGCTAGCCAGGTGCTGGTGGCTCATGCTACTCAGGAGGCCAAGATCTGAGAATTGTGGTTCAAAGCCAGAACAAGCAAGAAAGCCTGTGAAACTCTTGTCTCCAATTAATCACAGAAAAAGCTGGAAGTGGTGCTGTGGCTCAAATGGTAGAGCACTAGCCTTGAGCAATAAAAGGAGCTCAGGGACAGTGCCCAGGTCCAGAGTTCAAGCCCCATAACTGGCAAAACAACAAAAGCTAGTATCAAACAGTTATGGTAACATAGGATAGCAAGTCTGGGGGCTTGCTTAGGCAAAAGTATGAGATCTTATATAAAAAATAAATTAAAAGAGCAAAAGGATTGAGAGTGTGGCTCAAGAGATAGAGCACCTGCCTAGCAAGCTAGTGCTCCTAAATTTAATCCCTGTACCACGTGCCTCTCCAAAAATGGTTGGTGCCAGTTTAGAAAACCACTTGATCTAGGTAGAAGTGGCTCATGCATTGTAATCTTATCTCCTCAGGAGTCTAGGATATGGAGGATCATGTTTTGGAGCCAGCCTGTGTGAGTAGTAAAGAATGTGAGACCTCCAACTCCAAAATAACTAGCAAAAACTTGGGCTAGAGGCTCAAGTGGTACAGTGCAGCTGAGCAAGTGAGCCAAGCAAAGATGAAACCCCAAGTTCAAAACTCTAGTACTGGGGCTGGGAAGGTGGCTCAGTGGTAGAGCACTTGCCTTGCATGCATGAGGCCCTGGGTTCGATTCTCCAGCACCACATAAGCAAAAAGAAAAACGCCGGAAGTGGCGCTGTGGCTCAAGTGGTAGAGCACTAGCCTTGAGCTGAAGAGCTGAGAGACAGAGCCCAGGCCCAGAGTTCAGGCCCCACCACCGGACCCCCCAAAAAGAAAAAAGAAAAAAAGAAACAAAACTCTAGTACTAGCTGGACACCAGTGGATCACACCTGTAATCCTAGCTACTCAAGAAGCTGAGATCTGAGGACTGGGTTCAAAGCCAACCCAGGCAGAAAAGTCCCCATGAGACTTTCACCTCTGATTAACCACTCAAAAACTAAAAGAGGCCGGCACCAGTGGCTCACACCTGTAATCCTAGCTACTTAGGAGACTGAGATCTGGGGATTGTTGTCCAAAGCCAGCTCAGGCAAGAAAAATCTGTGAGCCTCTTATCTCCAATAAACCACTCAGCAAACCGGAAGTGGCACTGTGGCTCTAGTGGTAGAGCACTAATCTTGAGCTGGAGAGCTCAGGGACAGCACTCAGACCCAGAGTTCAAGCCCCACAACCAGAAAAAAAAACAAAACAAAACTGGAAGAGGAGCTGTGACTCAATGTGGTAGAGTGCTAGCTTTGAGCAATAGAGCTCTGGGACAGCACCCAGACCCTGAATTCAAGCTCCACAACTGACAAAAACAAAAAACCCAAACAAACAAACAAAAAACCTCTAAAACCATCAAAAAGAAAAGCTACTAGACGAGTTCAGATCAGTATTGGTCCAATCTATTTTTGTAGCTTTGTAGTAATCATAGCAATCATTGTCCTGTTTGACTATGGAAGAGATAGAGCACAACATTCAAACAACCAAATATAGGTCTTTCCTAAGAATGTCCTCAAAAAGACTTCATTTTTCTACATTTTAGGGACACACAGGAAGGGCTACTAAGCCATTTACTGCAGATAACCATCACAGTGTGGCTCTCAGAAAGTCAACTGCGTTGACCAGGAAAGTATCAAATCCTGCTTTCAAAATATTACCAAACTTACAATGATGCTGCACTCACAACTTGAAGAACATTCAAAGCCACTAGGCAACTCGCTACATGGGAACTGAAGAGATGGCCATTCTACATCAGCTTCTCCTTTCTAAGTGTTCCCAGCAGTCAGTGAGTGTACCTTGTACAATTACATCATCGTCCAAATAGATGACTTTCTCATGTTGGTGTATAAGCAGAGGGAGATAAAATCGAACAAAGTTTAGCTGTGAAAACAAGGGAGATAGTGTTAGGGAAGAAGCTTGATGTCTTCTGGATGTATTCAAGTCGGTTTTGACCAGGGCCTCAACTTGGCTCCACCTCTGGTGTGGAGCATGATACTGTACCTGCGTTCACAGTGCTTGGTCTATTTGGGCTCTGGGGCTGAAAACAGAGCTGGCAGATCAGTGACTCTTGTAGCTCCAACCCCCACCACTGAGGCTGGCTGAACCACCAGTGTAATACAGTGAACCATCACTGTGAACCACTATTGTGGAAGTCACCAAAGCTCCCTAGTCAATCTTCTAGTGTGTGGAATGCCTGCTTTCCTCTACCTCCATCATTTAGATTCTTCTCAGCTCAGTCAGATTAATGTTGTACACACACACACACACATGCACAGTCACATGTGTCATCCAGCAACAAGTTCAACCTTTTAGCTCTTTGACCCAGAAAAGCATGAGCATGGTTGGAGAAGCATGAGCCAGTGGGAGTTTTAAAGTTTCAGTGATGACAATGTGTTCAATCATCATCCTTACTCAACTCATACTCCAACACTAAACATCTGGAATTCGAGGATGATCATATCATACAGAACTTATAGTTAGGTGAATGCATAGGATGGGTTTCAGTAACAGTCACATATAGGAAGTGGCTGCAGTTTCTTTCAGTAATAGTCACATATAGGAGGTGACTGCAGTTTCTCTAACACTGCCATCAGAAACATTACTCTAGTTGAGTGTGATGGCATACCAATAATCCCAGTACTGGGACGTCTAAGACAGGAGGACTGAGAGCCCAAGGCCAGCCTGGGCCACAAAATTAGATCCTTACTCAAGCAGACAGAAAGCTAGACTTCCTATCGGACAAGTTCTCTTTTGTAAGCAGGAAAATACTTTTGATTCCCAATGCTAGCAGTGGTGTCTCCTAAAAATGCTCTTAGTTGACAGTGAGGCCTAGAATCAATGACACTGCGGTTTCTCCTGGAAGGGTAAGCTAACTGGAATGTCCATGCCAGTACACATAACAGCCCATGGACTGGGAGAATTTGTTCCTCCTGGCTTCACTGCCCCTGTTCACACACATAAATTCATTCTATTTCTGATGCCCCATTTCTGTTTAACAGCCTCCTTATGCTCATGTAAGCATCTTGGATCCTTTCTTGGGCAGGTGGTTCATACGCTATGACTAAACAGACCTCTGTGGAGGCATGTGTGTATCCAGTAGCAACTGCTCTACAGGAAACAGTGTTACTTGCAACTGTCCTCAGTACATGTCACCCATACTCACAGGCTGCAACAACTCTGGCCTTGAAGCATCAGGTCGAATCTTGCCTTTGAGGACCACAGGGTTGAATTCCACGATTTTAAAATTTATTTCTCTCAGTTTAGAATGTTCAATCCATTTTCTAAAGAGACAATAAAAAGCTCTTTAAATCCTGTCTCAGGGGGAGAGTTCAGTCATAATATTCAATGCATATCCTATGAAATTAGGAAAATTGAGGTGGGGTTGGGCGGGATGAAGGAGAATAATGAAAGAGGTGATATTGATCAAGATACCTTGTACTTACAAATGGATTTGTTGAATGGGAATCCTTTTGTACAACTACTTAAAGATAATAATAATATAATTTTAAAAGTCTTTTCTCAATTTTCCTGTTGCCTGAGGGCTCATCAGCTGCTCTCTTAGAAAGTTTAAAAATAAATGTATGGGGGCTGGGAAGGTGGCTCAGTGGTAGAGCGCTTGCCTTGCATGCATGAGGCCCTGGGTTCAATTCCTCAGCACCACATAAGCAAAAAGAAAAAACCCGGAAGTGGCGCTGTGGCTCAAGAGATAGAGCGCTAGCCTTGAGCTGAAGAGCTGAGGGGCAGCGCCCAGGCCCAGAGTTCAGGCCCCACGACCCGACCAAAAAATAAATAAATAAATAAATGTATGATGCTAGGTGCTGATGGCTTATGCCTATCATTCTAGCTACTCAGGAGGCTGAGATCTGAAGATCGTGGTTCAAAGTCAGTCCAAATAGTAAAACTCATAACTCCAATTAGTTACCAAAAATTAAGCCAGAAGTAAAGCTGTGGCTTAAGTAGTACAGCACTAACCATGAGCAAAGAAGCATAGGGACGGTGCCCAGGCTCTGAGTTCAAGCCCCAGGACTGGCACTAACTAACTAACTGACTAACTAAATAAATGAATGTAAACAGTGAAGTTTAGTTTAAAATCTTCCTGATTGTTTCCCTATCTGGTTAGCCTTCCAAACTTTGTTTCTGCCCCACTTTCAATCAAGATTTCTTTCTATGAAGGAAAGAAAAGAAAAAAAATAATTAGATAAACCCCAAATCAGATATCCTCCCAAGAAGATGGAAGAAGGGAAGTGCTTTTTCTGTAAAAAGCATGCAGCTCATCAAGACCATCTTGCTACATGATGCTCACTCTAAAACACTGAAAAGTGAGACAGTCTACATCTTCAACACTACAGTCTTTTTTTACTCTGACTCCAAGGATGGTTTGAATTTATCTTTGAATCCTTTGAATCTCTCTCTCTCTCTCTCTTCCCTCCTCCCTGTCTCCCTGTATATCCACATTACTTGTCTTCTTCCTTCATGCTCTTCTCTCAGTCCTACAGACTTCTACTTTTTATCTATTTCCTAAGGGGAGTCTTGGTAGAAACAATCTCAAGATACAATTTCCAACAACTAATATCACCTATAGCAGCATTGTTTCCTGATTAAAAAATAACCCTCCCAAAGTCAGGTGTGTTGGGTCATACCTGTATTCCAAGCTACTTGGGAAGCAAAGCTCGAAGCCAGCCTGGGAAAAAGTGTACAAGACCCTCACATCTCAACCAAGGGCCTAATGGCAGCTCCTGTCATCCCAGCTACACAGGAAACTCAAATTGGAGAACTTCAGTCCAAGACAGCCAGAATGTAAGCATAAGACCCTGTTTGAAAATTAACTAAAGCAAAAGAACTGAGGTAATGTATCTTCCTAACAAACACTATTAAACTAAAGTACTATTAAAAAAATAATAATCAGCTGGGTGCCAGTAGCTCATACCTGTTATCCTAGCTACCCAGGAGGCTGAGATCTGAGGATCATGGTTCAAATCCAGCCTGGGCAGGAACATTCCTGAGACTCTTTTTTTTTTTGCCAGTTTTGGGCTTGAACTCTGGGCCTGGGCACTGCCCCTGAGTTCCTCAGCTCAAGGCGAGCACTCTACCACTTGAGCCACGGTGCCACTTCCGGCTTTTTCTGCTTATGTGGTGCTGAGGAATTAAACCCAGGGCCTCATGCATGCAAGGCAAGCACTCTACCACTGAGCCACATTCCCAGCCCTCCTGAGACTCTTATCTCCAATTAACCACCAGAAAGCTGGAAGTAGCATTGTGGCTCAAGCAGTAGAGCGCTTGCCTTGAGCTGAAGAACTGAGGGACAGCGCTGAGGCCCAGAGTTCAAGCCCCACAACTGAATAATAATAGTAATAATAATAATAATAACCAAAGAGGGCTGGGAATGTAGCTCAGTGTTAGAGTCTTTGCCCACAATGGGCAAGGCCCTGATTAGATCCACTAGCATACCAACAATGAAAACAAAAATTGATAAAATAATTAAAACTGAACAAAAAATTAATTTGTAAAATTTGAACCACAAAAGTGGATCATGTCAGTAAAAAAAAAGACAAAACAAAATAGACAAGAATCTTGAACACAAACTTCCAGTGCTCAACCACATCAGAAATAAAGGAATCTTAAATGAAAACTACAAGGAGAAACCAATGGGCATCATTGGAACAGCAAAGTTGAAAGGATGGGTCACACCAAGTATTGGTAATGATATGGTGAGGATTTTCTAAGCTATACAATGGATTTACAGTTTCCTGTCTTTGAGTTCTACTTCAATGAAAACAGTTTTCACAATATTTAAAGAGGGGAGTTATGGGTGGACTGGATAGCCAGGAACTGGGAAATAGCTCTTGCTCACTTTGTTGACCATTTGCACTTTTTTCTTGTATGAATTGTCTATTCATATTCTACTTTTTGTAAGTTGGCTCATTGCTTGTCTTTTGAGACAGGGTCTTACTACAATGGCCCAGGCTAGCAGGTTAGCCCTATGCACCCAGAGGAGGCTTGAACTTGGGATCTTCCTGCCTCTGCTTATGAATGCTGCGATTATTGATATGTGCCACTATGCCTCTCATTTTTGTCTTTTATGATACTGGGGATCCAATCCAGGATTTTACTGTCATGTTCTATGCTTACTTTTTTAAAACTAGGCTTGTACTTTAAAAGTGTTTTTTTGGTAACTATTTTTTATTCTGAATAGTAATCCTTTTTCTGGAATACATTTTGAGAAACTGCTCTCCTAATGTATTTTATGACTAATTGGACTCATTGTTTCTCATCACTCATAATGTATTACGTTATGTCAAATCTGACAGTGTTCTTATCATTTCTGGGAAGGCACTCTCCACACATAGGTTATCCATGTACCCCACATCTTACAATACATTTACATTTGATTTGCTGCTTATTCCTCCTCTTATTAGTATATTTATTTCCTCTTAATTTAACTCTAGTTCATTTTTAGTACGATACATGATGGAAAAGAATCAGTTCAAAATGACATTATACCATATAAAATTTTAGTTTTCAGTTAAAAAAGTGTAAGGCTGGAGCCAGGCCTCATGGATTACAGGCTCATGCCTGTAATCCTAGCTACTCAGAAGGCTGAGATCTGAGGATCACTGTTCAAAGCCAGCCCAGCAGGAAAATCCTTGAGATTCTTATCTCTGATTAACGACCAGAAAACTGAAAGTGGCACTGTGGTTCAAGTAGTAGAGTGCTCGCCTTGCGCTGAAGAGCTCAGAAACAGTGCCCAGGCCCAGAGTTCAAGTACCATGACTGACAAAAAAAAAAAAGTATAGGGCTGAGGTACAGCTCAGTCAGTGGGAGAGCATGAATTTAGTATGAGAGGCCATGGATTCAATCAAACGTGTACAGTATGTGTATTTTTTTGTATCTTTCATATATACCATATACTCATATATTTACATATTTATAAACATAAATATATTTATCAAAGATTGATATATTTAGTTATTTTAATATATTTTTATAAATGGTCATATATTTATGAAATCTAAAATAAATATGTATTTATGAATTAATAAGTATATTTAGTTAGGTCAGATATGGTGGGATCTGCCGTTAATCTCAGCATTTGGGAAGCAGAGGCAGGAGAATCACCACTTCAAGGCCAGCTTGGGCTATAATAGTGAGATATTGCCTCAAAATTCATCATTTTATGGTACTAGGGCTTGGGCTTAACTGTATATATGTGTTAAGATGGCTAGCTTGGCTGATGCCACTTGAGCCACGCCTTCAGCCTGGCTTCTAGTTGGTTATTATAGAGCAGAAATCTTGCAGATAATTTCTCTCCGTGCTGACTTCAAACCATTGTCCTGTAGATCTCAGCCTTCTGTGTAGCTATGATTACTGGGTATGAGCCACCAGTTCTCAGCAAGAGTAATAATTTTTAAAAAGAAGGACTGTCAAAAGCTGTTCAAGGGCTGGGGCTCTTTTTTTTCATTAGACAGAAGCTTCATCTACCAAGTCAATGAGGCTTTGCTGCATTTCCTTATCTGGACAACTCGGGTGTTAGATGACCAGGTAAACCTCAAGGCATCCATTCCCAAAAGGAAGTGAATCTGTTTAAGGTAAGAAAAGGAAGACTAAAAGGAAGTGGAACAATCCCAAAGACTCAGCACACAAATCACCGAATTCGAGGCAGGGTGTTGCGTAGCCCAACCACGTAAAAGATGATGTTGGCATCAGTGTTGCTGTAGATGCTGTTGATGGCAGCCATGGCTGCGCCCATGCGCCCTGCAGCCGCACAAATCACCACCGGGATCTCCTCTTCCCCATCCTCTGGAGTCATGGCAGCAGCATCTGGGAACCACAAAAACAGTGACTTGGAGCAGGAAGGACTTGCAGGAGCAACTGACCTGTCTTGTACATTTCTGCAGACTGCTGGTTCTTCTCCAGCTCAGTTTCTCCCTCTTCTTTTAGAAAAGTGTTCAAATGTTTGCAGGCACACAACCAATCACTAAAACTATTTCCCCAGACTCCCTGCCACTCCATGTGACTGAACTCTGATAAGCAGGATGTTAGTTCAAGTAATAAATGCAAATGCTGGGTTCACTCTTCTCAATGGACTCTTGGTATGATGGTCAGAATTGGCCTACATGATGGAAAGTAGGTGAGTTAGGAACATCAAAGCCATGGAATTTCTACCTGGATAGTAGTGCAATTGACATCAGTTTTTTCACTTGAAAGACCAACTTTTAAGTCCCTATTATTTTGGAGGTGTCATATAGAAGCCAACCTTAGAATCATACATGGGGAGAAGGGGAAGTTAAAAAACATACGAATTTGACAAGAATTATATTTACTACCTTACTTATGTAACTATAAGCCCTCTGTAAATCACATTGACAATAAAAATATGAGGGAAAAAAACCACATAAGAAAAGAAAAGCTCTGTTGGTTCAGCAGTCCTCTCAACTCTTCCCTAAATTGGAATATCTATCTTACCTATGATAGCTATAAACTATACTGCCTGTCATTTGTCTTCTTCGTTCACTCTTAAATTTCTCAAATGCTGACAGCATGGGAAAGGAGATAAATAAAAGAACATGACTAATGTACAAGATGCATAATTGATCATGCTTTTCAGCATTGAAAATAAGACATCCATGCTACCATATCACTGAATAATAAGGATCAATCTGTAGATGCATCCAATGTTTATTTAAAGTGTGGTCTGTGTTTTCAGATACTCTTTTGCAAAATCTCTAGTCACTCAGGCACAAGGTAGTATGTTCAACTGAAGAAGTATTGAATGAAACTAACCACTGGATACAGTACAGACATGGGGTCCTTAGAGAAGCCTGTGACAGCTCCTATATGAAGTAGCCCACCGTCCCTTGTTCTCTGGTGCCCTTGCCTGTGGTTGGAAGTCTGTGCACACTGAACTGTGCACATTCCCCTGGATATAGGAGCTCTGAGTGTAGAGAGGGCATCTAGTTTATCTTGTACCTCTGCTCCTAACCGAGAACCTGGTACTTGGTGCATTGTCAGTACACTTTGGAAGGATGAATGGATAGATGCATGAGTTCGTGGCTATCTTCCTCTCAGCACTTGCCACACTATACTTGAACAGTCTGTTTTTGAGGCTGCCTCTCTACAACAATACTGTGAGCTCATTACATTGCCTGACTGAGTCTGGCAGTGGAAGTGCATGAGGAAAGTTTGCAGAAATGAACTGGACTGAATTGGTGGAAAGGACTAGAGAACAGAGCCCTCAACAATGGCTCATGGATATTCTGAGAGGTAAAGTAAGAAAAGAGCTGAAAAGTGGGGACAGAGCCTGGCTGCTAGGCACAGGTAGAGGTCTTCAGCAGGCAGCAGGCAACAGGAGGATGAAGCAGGAAGAAGGCATCCCCAGAAAAGAAGGGGCAGCCACAGCAGCTGAAGCCAACCTAAGCCATAAATACAGCTCTCTGTCAGGAAGTGTCCCCTGGACAGGATGAAGGATAATGGTGCACAGAAGGTAAACTCTCTTTATTAGTGCTTCATCCTTACAGTGGCCTCGGGAGTTGTCTGCTACATGCTGGATCCTCTGTACCAGTGGGTGCTGGAACCAACCTGTTCAATAGTTTGCCTATGGGAAGCTGTCTTGTGCTGAACCAAATCAGAAACCATCATAACATGCTAACAGTTACCTGCTTCTTCCCACCAAGCCCCGCTTTCTACAAGTCCACCACCTCTAATAGCTTAATCAAAATTTGAGTCATCAGTGGATTGATCCATCAATAAGGCAGAGTCCTCATGATTCAATCATTTCCCAAAGCCCCACCTCTGAACACTGCTTGTATTAGGTTCAAGCCTGCAATACATAAACCTTTTGTGGGGGACCCTTCATGTCCAAACCCTTAGATAGGCTTTTTGGGCAATAATGGGAATGAACCAGTAAGGAGAAGAGAGAAAATTTTTCATAAGCAAAATGTTTAGAGGCTCCAAGAGATGGGATGCAAAGCAGTCCATTCCCAGTATGGTGCACTACCTAAGAGCCTGAGCATCACTTGGAGCCTATCGGAAGTGCAAATGCTCACAGTGTTTCAGCAGGCCCTTCTTGTGAATCCTATAAGCTGACCAAGTTTTCACTTGTCCCTGAGTCCCAATATTGAAAGGACTCAAAAGTTCTCACAGTTGTCCTTTCTTGCTGGGTTCCATGCTTGCTCACCTGTTTCCCTCCTGAGCACAGCTCCTTTACGAATTTTCTTGTACACGATCCCACAGAGGGTCCCAATCAGAAGGAGAAGCAGCACTTGATTAACTGAAAGGCAAAGGGAAACCTATCAAAGATTATTCCATGAACCTAAAACCTAAAGTTTTGATGGCAGTGTAAACATTGTGATCAGAAGGGGTTGGCCTGCCACCTCTCTTCAAGCACACCCACAGAGCAAAGTTTTTAACTGCTACACTATTGTCAAGACCCACAGAGGAAGTGTAAGGAGGACCAGGCTAAAGCTGTGCTGAAAACCTGATCATTGCTTTGCAGGGGCTGCCTTTGCAGCCACTGTTGTGCACAGTCAACATTTATATAATGTTTGTTGTGAGCCAGCCCTAATTATGAATAAATGTGTTTTGATTTTTAACTAATTCAGACACTAGTTCAGGATGATGTGCAGAACATTCTTGCCCTGAGTAAAAGATTAAAAGAGAGCCAGGTATAGGTGGCTCATGCTTGTAATGCTAGCTACTCAGGAGGCTGAGATCTGAGGATCACTGTTCAAAGCCAGTCTGGGCAGGAAAGTCTGTGAAACTCTTACCTCCAATTAACCGAAAACCAGAAGTGGAGCTGTAGCTCAAGTGGTAGAACACTTGCTTTGGGCTGAAGAACTGAGGGACAGTGCCCAAGCCCAAAGTTCAAGCCCCACAACCAACAACAACAAAAAGATTAGAAGAGTTCAGGAAGTAGAGGTAGAAGGATCACCATCCAAGCCAACTTTGGGAAAAACGTGTGAGATCCTATCTGAAAAACAAACTAAAACAAAAGAGGGCCTGAGGGGGTGATTCATGTGGTAGCAGGCCCTCAGTTTAAATCCTCCCCCAAAAGATAATTTATTAGTCTCATACTGGTTTGTTTTTTGACACCAAAGTGAGTCTCTGCATGCCTTCTAAAACTATGTTCCAAGGCTCAGTGATTCTACCTTTCTGACTTCTAGCTCTTTGCTGCCTTTTGGGTTATTGGATTCAACCAGAGACAATCCCATAGCAGACGCAATGTAAATCAACACTATGGGGAAGCAGAAGGGACAAAATTCTGTACTATATCAATAAGTTTGGTCAATGTTCACTTACCAGAGCATGTGAGGAAGATGGCTCAATATCTTCCATTATCTGACCCCTCCAACTACCTGTTGCCAATGACATAGGTTGTCTAGATAAAATTAATTTTTTTTCTTTTGTTGGTCATGGGGCCTGAACTCTGGGCCTGGGTGCTGACCCTCCGCTCTTCAGCTCAAGGCTAGTGCTTTACCACTTGAGCCATAGCACCACTTCTAGGTTTTTCTCCTTATGTGGTGCTGAGGAATCGAACCCAGGGCCTCACGCATGCAAGGCAGGCATTCTACCACTGAGCCACCTTCCCAGCCCCTAAAATTAATTTTTTAGGTTAAGCATGTTATGTAAAATATTTAGAACATATGCTAAATTATTCTTGTGAGGCTCAAATTTAACAGGACATCCCTGTTTTCATTTACCAAATCAGGTAGCTCTACTTTGAGAGTAATAATACCAAGATCAGGTTACTGTGTTTTCCCCAAACTCATAAACCACTAGTAAAATAAAGGTTACACCTAGGTTTTGATGGGTCTGAATACTTGAGGCAATCCTGTAAGAATAAGAATACAAAATGGCAGCTGGGCATTGGTGGTTCACACCTATAATCCTAGCTACTCACGAGGCTGAGATCTGAGGATCTCCATTCAAAGTCAGCTCAGGCAGGAAATTCCATGAGACTCTTATCTCCAATTAACCACCAGAAAAACAAGTAGAACTGTGGCTCAAGAGGTAGAGCACTAGCCTTGCGCAGAAAAGCTCAGGTATAGCACTCAGGCCTTGAGTTCAAGGCCATAACAGACAAAAAAAATTTTTTAAATGAATTAATTACAAATGCTAAATTAAGCATGAATGTGAAATAAATCACATTTGCAAGTTTTATAGAAATACATGATCCCATGACGTAAGCCTACTTCTGACCAAAATACTTAACAACTTCCCACAGGAATGGTTCTGAAATGGTAACAAAAACTAGAGGAGGGGAAGAATTAGAGAAGGAGGTAGAAGGGAGAAGGAGGAGGAGAGAAGAAAGGAGGAGGAAGAAGAGGAGAAAGGAAAAGGAGGAGAGAAGAAAGCTCTCAATCTCCAAACTTTCTTCTGAGATACCATTTTCAGAAGCTGCAATCCTACCTTTTCGTAACAGAGCCATGTGCACCCACGTAGTAAGAACTGGGACCTGTGGGTTGAAGAATAAAGTTTCATTTAAAAGAGAGTGAACTTGGGGGCTGGGAAGGTGGCTCAGTGGTAGAGCACTTGCCTTGCATGCTCGAGGCCCTGGGTTTGATTCCTCAGCACCACATAAGAAAAAAGCCAGAAGTGGTGCTGTGGCTCAAGTGGTAGAGTGCTAGCCTTGAGCTGAAGAGCTGAGGGACAGTGCCCAGGCCCAGAGTTCAGGCCCCACGACCGGACCTCCCCCCCCAAAAAAAAAGAGAGTGAACCTGGAAATGGCTCAAGAATTCAGGACTGTTGCCAGGCACTGTTGGTCCTAGCTACTCAGGAGGCTGAGATCTGAGGATCACTGTTCAAAGCCAGCATAGGCAGGAAAGTCTGTGAGACTCTTATCTCCAATAAACCACTAGAAAACTAGAAATGGCACTGTGGCCGGAAGTGGTGCTGTGGCTCAAGTGGTAGAGTGGTAGAGTGCTAGCCTTGAGCTGAAGAGGTGAGGGACAGCGCCCAAGCCCAGAGTTCAAGCCCCAAGACTGACAAAAAAAAAAAAAGAATTCAAGACTGTCAAATATGTCATAAAATATGTAATTACTCTTCACTGCTCTGAATCTAGAACTTTAGACAAAAAATAAACTCTTGAATAGACAGTCCATGTTTTCCAAAGTGCTTCTTCCAACTGATCAAGCTTTACACAGGATCCCCAAGGATCTGGGAAAACTCTTTCACAGACATTTGACACAATATCCCTGTTATTTTCCTGGGATAAAGACTGCACACCCAGGAGCTCAGAGTTTGGAGTATATGGGTGTGGCCTATCTCTGCCCATTGCATCCAGGGAAGAATAGGATCTGATATTACTTAGGACTCTTCTGGAATCAGGTTTCAGGTACCTTTTAATCCATGTACAGTTTTAGGTGACAGACATTCATCTAACTTTTCAGGATTCTAAGTTCACTCTTGGAATGGTCTTTGGCCACATGGATCCTCCTTTCACTCCACGAAGAAAGGAAGCCATCTGGCCTTCCCTCCCCCCACCGCCCTCTCTCTGTCTCTCTCTCTGTCTCTTTCTCTTTTTCTCTCTCGCTTCCTCATGTGGAACTCTATTCTGTCCTATTTTTAGTATAATGGTATGTCTATATTTTTGTCCCCAGCACAGACTCCCACCTGGACTTCAGACTCCCAGATCCAACTGGCCACTGAGCATCATTGAAGGCATCCACATGTCACAAACTGAGGTCCTAATACCTCCCACAAAGCTCCTACCTCCCATCATCTTCCCTAAACCCAGTAATAGTAACCCTATCTTTCTAATTTCTCTATCAAAATAACTCTGAACATCCCTTTCCTGCTGAAAGCCCTTCATTGGGATCCACTTTCAAAAGCTAAGGTTCAAAGTTCTTTTAAAGCATTTAGAATAAGGTTATCTGTACGCTAGCCATCAGAGCTATACACATAGAAAGAACAAGGAAGACAAAAAAAAAAACCAGAGCCAGAGTAGAAAAAAAGAAAGATTTGGGAGGAAGGAAGGGAGGGAGCAAGTGGGGTCCTGGAGAGATGATATGATATGGGGAACACTGGGATGATCAGACTGTCAGAGAAAAGAATGTATCAAGAGCAGGGGTGCTGCCAAGGGCAAGTAAAGGGTCATTTTTGTCACCAGGAAAACTCACCAGCCCTGAGGCCTCACTACTTTGCAGAACCTGTGTTATGTCCCTTATTGACATGACATCCTTTTGTTCCTATTGCAGATGACCCGGAAAGGCAAGTGCAAGTGAAGGTGCTGAGTCCAGCTTACAAGAGGTGACACACAGACATCACCCTCCCTGTGAGTCCGACAGCAGCACCCATGCTCTCACTTCTGCAGCGTGCAGCTCTGCTCTTAGCTATACTAGAGGGAGGAATGGAAGTCCATTATATAATACAAAGGGTTTGTACAGAAGTTCAAATCTAAAATATTTGGAGGAAAAGGAAAAGATAAAACCAATCAACCAACCAATATCACTTTGAGTATCAGGCTACCTGAGGCCAAACAGCAGGACTGATACTTTCCTACTGCATATCCAGATGTTTAGATTCTCTGTGTGTGTGTCTCTCTGTCTCTGTCTCTGTCTCTTTCTCTCTCATGTGCTCTCTCTCGTGTGTTCACTCACTCTATCAGGTTAAGTCAAGCTTTTCCAATAGATTACCCGTGGTGAAAAAGTCACATAAGACATTTTTTCAATGTTGAATGTTGGAGACCCGAAACCTGCCTGAGAATGCTCTGGCCTCTTTCAAACACCTGATTGACAAGTAGCCGTTCTCGGAAATTCCAAGGTGCACATTTAGATAACTTCCTATAACAAACTACATTTGGCTAACCATAAATATTCCTCCAGCCCTAAGCAAACAACATTTGGCTAACCATAAACATTTCTCTTATCTCCATCCCTAAGCAAGCGGCGCCTGGCTAACCATAAATGTCTCCTAGAGAAACTACAGGAGGTACCTTTAAGATGAGCACAACAGCCAAAAGGATAAGCACAACCCATCCCTGACCCCGGGACTTCTCACCCTTGCTTCTGCAAAGTTTTTTTCATTCTTTCCCTTCCCCTGTCCCTTCGGGTATATAAACCCTGCCTCACTTTAATAAAGCAGACCTTGACGCGACTCAGAACGGCTCTGTCTCGATCCTCTCTCGCCCCCCTTGGTTCTTTTAGGAGGTGCCTCCTCGGATCCCCCACAAAATTACCTGGCCTGCTGGACGGGTCAGTTGAAAGCATTTTTCAAACCTGAACACTACAACTTCTATGCACAGATTTCCACAACGGCTAGTTGTTCTCTCATTGGGGGAGGCCCTCAGAACAGTTTCCGGACAGATTCCAAAATCATGAATCAGAACCCAATTAAGTCATTTGGGCTCAACGACAAACTTACATTAAAGAGTAGCATTTATCTGGGTTCTCTGCGGATCTCTATGCTTGAAACTCTACATAAATACCAAATCACCTATTCTGGGGAGAGAGGGAGAATAAATCATGGTCTGCAAGTATAGTCCAGGGTGGGAAAACCTCACATGTGGACTATCTTAAATTCACTATAATGGCAAAAAAAAAAAGTTTTGTTAGAATGATGGTCCCAATCACCAACTGAAGTGCTATGAAGAGTATGTGCAGATCAGAAACCTCTGAGTTACTTCCTTAGTCTGTAGCAAACAAAATAAAGGAGTGCTGAAGATTGGCCAGGATAAAGTGGGAAAACGACACTTGAAATTTTCTCTATTTACCTGATGGACGGGTAGAATAGGACTTTAGGCTCCTTGGTTCTGAAGTAGTGCTGCCCTTCAGAGTGCTGCTTTTGAGACTTCTAAGATCCTATAGGAAATCCCAAAGGGCTGGTGAGCTCCAAGCCAATATTCCACTTGGAAGAGAACATGCCTCTCTGGTCTGGTCTGCACTCCTTTGCTTGGGCTGACTTTGAGTGGCTTGGGATTCTTCCACTCGGGTGCCTCGGAGCAGCTGGGAATCCAGACATTGAAGGCAGGGAGGCGGCCCTTGAGAAACCACTTCCAGATGTGCTGAGCCAGGCAAGGCGGGGGCTGGGTCCCCTCGGCCAGACTTTCTCTCGCAGCCTCAGCAGTCTGAGTGCAAATCTTCTTGAAAACAAGGCTGTTCTAGAGGAAAACATTGAAAACCAGAGAACAACTGCCTGCTGAGTGAATTCCTACTTCACCTTGGGTCTAAGGTAAACTTTGAAAGAGACGTGAACATAGAATTAATGCCAACTTGGAGAGTTTCCTGCTTATTGAAATGTCATGGTCATAAATCAAAGCAAACAATTATGGTCTCATGCTACCAAGGCAATGGCAAAATTCCAAGGTGTTGGGTACGTTGTGCCTGGACACGAAGAGGAATTCCAGGCAGAGCTGGCAAATCATCAAGAGGCTGTGTTTCTGCCATTGGTCCTCAGAAGCCAAGGATGGTACCAACACTTTGCCTGGGATCCTGGAATTTATTCTGCAGTAACCCCCTCCCCAGTTCCTACAGGAATTAAGGCTCTCCTTTCATGCTTCTTCCTTGCTAAAGTGGCCTCTCCTTCAAAAATACAATATTGCAGTCACACTGTAAGTTTACATTTTCCAGAAGTCACATTAATATAAAATATTACCAAGACATCTTAAATTATTTTGTAGTTTTCACTGAGTTTTTGAAATCTGGTATATATTTTATACTTGTGGCAAATCTCAATTTAAACACCAAACTTCACTGGAAATATTGCATATTTAGATTTCATTAAAGTTACAGTTCATGAAGTAGATTCATGTATTCAGCTTGGCTTAAATGCATTTAAAATATTTCCAATAACTGAATCAAGTATGAGGTTTTTTTAAAAAAATTTACCTTACTGTTGTTATAAAGTTGATATACAGTTATATAAGTCAGGTAATGAGTACGTTTCCTTTGGTTCAGCGTCCTCCCTTCCCTTATTCCCTCCCAGTCCCTCTCTCCAGTCTCCACCTGAAAGTTGTATATGTAATTTATTTTCAACACGAGGGGTTTTTAAATTGTTATTATCAAGTAGTTTTGCAAAGGGGTTATAATTCTATAAGTCAGGTTGTGAGTTCAATGCTTCTTGGACAATGAAGATTTTTTAAAATTTTATTTATTTATTTTTTTGCTTATGTGGTGCTGAGTAATCAAACCCAGGGCCTCGTGCATGCAAGGCAAGCACTCTACCACTGAGCCACCTTCCCAGCCTGATGTTTGTTTGTTTTTGAAATTCCAATTAAAACTTAGTAAAATGTAGAAGCTGGAAATAAATTGTTTAGCTAGGGATACAGGTGGACCTATTGCAACAATAAGATGTACAAGACATTATATCGAAAAATGAACTTTACAACTTTGTCATGGGGGAGGGGAGGGGAAAGGGGGAGGAAGGGGACAGGGTTGGAGGGGGACGGGGGAAGGGGAGAGATGGGAGGGGATGGAAAGGGGAAACAAAGGAGGAGGCAACAACGCTTGATAAGAAATGTATGCATTACCTTGCCCATGTAATTGTAACCCCTCTCTACGGTATTTCCACAAAAAAAAAAAAATGTAGGAGCTGGCTCTCCAGACCACTGGTCACATATTAAGCATTTATCAGCTAGTCTGGCCAGTGGCCACTGGGGTGAACGACGCAGCTCCTGAGGATTTGGTGGGGATTCTCAGACTTAAGCTTCAAATACTTCCAAAACATTTCTGCACCTTCTATTTCACTTCTTTCTCATAATTCTCTTAGGTAGGTTGAGTTTTGCCCCAATGTTCAGATGAGTAAACTGAGGCTCTAAGGCAGGTAAAGTCCAACTTTCTCAAAGCAAGTTGGTGATGAAGCTAGGACTGGATATTTTGCACTTCTCAACTATTTTGCTAATATTGCCACACACGTACTTCAACGATCTCCTTGAAGCATGCTGCGGACACAGCAATTTGACTGTGACAATAGTGTTACAAGGCACCCAGTCTTCAACTGGTCATCCTGCAGCATCCAAGGTGCATGTGTAGGATCACCCACTATCCTAAAGCTCTCACACAACCTAGTGGGCTTTACACTGTGCCATTCCAGGACTCTTAGTAAATTGTATACCATCTTAACAACAGCTTCTCTCAGTGCTTTAACAAGGCATGGCCCTGAGAGGGTACTTCTTTCCATGATGGACCACATATAGTATGGTGACTCCATGATATTGTAATGAAGCTGAAAATTCCTATCGAATAGTATTTTACTATACTTTTGCTAAGTTTAGATACATAAATATTCACCATTGTGTGACAACTGCCTACAGTATGCAGCATAGTAATATACTGGGCAGGTTTATAGACCAGGAGCAACTGGCTAGACCATACAGTTCAGATGTAGTAGGTTACATCATCTACATTTGTGTCCATACATTCTGTGATATGCACACAATAGTGAAATTGCCTAACCATGCATTTCTCAGAATAGAGCCCTGCCATGAAGTATATGACTATATTTATCTTTGGTTTTTCCAAAGATAACATTTCTACCTTGATCACCTTTGAGAAGTCAAAAGGTTCAATGGCAGTATAGGGTGTTATGCTCTAGGTACTTCTGCTCTAGTCCTGTTTACATGTACATGTACAAAAATAAGGTCATATTTTTTGGCTTGCCACTGCCTTCCAGAACTTTGTGCTGTGAGGGAGACAGAGCCATCCCCAAGATATTTCTCAGGAAAATGTCTTGGGCTGACATTGGTCCAATCTAGTTTCTTCCAAAGGTTGTGTCATTTTTTTTGCATCCACTTAGAATGCCTGATCCAGTGTTAAGAGCTGTTGTATAATTGGTTGACAACCAGAAAGAAAGACTCAAAATTGAAAACTTGTTTCTCTAGAATGTACTTGTGATTCACATTAACTTTGACACAGACACAAGTCTTTCCAGTCATTGTTCTTTGTACGCTTTCTCCACAACCTCTACTGTCTGTAAACTCTAGCTTCTTTTTCCTGCTGTGCTGCTCTCTGAGGATACAGGAGGCATGTTGATCTATGACCTAGGTTGCCATGTTGTATGCAGAGACTCTCCTTTGTAGAAGTATAGAGGAAAGAAGACGACACAGGATGTGCGTGGTAATGCAGTAATAGTGCTCTGACTCCCAGCCTAGGCTTTGGAAGGTCAGCTGTTATAATTACATGTTTTTTTTTTCCTTTTTTTTGGGGGGTCCGGTTGTGGGGCCTGAACTCTGGGCCTGGGCGCTGTCCCTCAGCTCTTCAGCTCAAGGCTAGCGCTCTATCTCTTGAGCCACAGCACCACTTCCAGCTTTTTTCTTTTTGCTTATGTGGTGCTGAGGAATCAAACCCAGGGCCTCAGGCATGCAAGGCACGCGCTCTACCACTGAGCCATCTTCCCAGCCCCTACATGTTTTTTTTTTTTTTATAAGTCTTGCCTTCGTTTCCTCTTCTATTAATAAAGCCTAATAGGACTTGTGAGAGGTAAGACACTGTACATATAAAGTACTCAGAGCTCTGTAAGTGGAAATAATGTTATTTTTAAACTGCATTTGATATAGTTGAATATTTAATGGAATAGCTGAAATAGTTTAAAAAGGGAATTGACAAAGATTGAGTATATTCAAAGTGAATACTATGACCTGATATATATTTTATGTAACCAATTTATATACTTAGTCTCCAGGCTCATCTTTTCTTCTTTTATTTTCTTTACTTTTGTTCATTTTTGTCTTTTTTTAATTTTTTTGTACAGGGTTTGAACTCAGAGCTTTTAACTTGCTTAGCTTCCTTGCATATAGCTGGTACTCTTCCCCTTGATCCATGCCTCCAGTTCAGCATTTTGCTGGTTAGTGATGGAGTCTCACCAACTTTTCTACACTGGCTGGCTTTGAACTTCAATCCTCCAGGTCTCAGCCTCCTGAATAGCTAGGATTACAAGTGTGTGCTAGTAACACCCAGCCTCATCTTGTAACTTGTTTGTATCCTTTGACTAACATCTAGCCACTTTTTCCACCTTCTAGTCTACCCACCATTATTTCATTCTCAGCTTCATTTCTGTGTCTAGTTTATTTCATTCTGCAAATTGTGTTTCATGTTCATTGATATTGATGCAGATGGCAGGATCTCCTTGTTCTTTATGGCTGGAAACAGCTAAGTTTATAACTATGACCACCATATCTTTTCATCCATCCTCAGTCACTTAGGTTCTTTGTCTGGGCTATTGTGAGTATGCTGCAATGAATGTGGGGGTTAAGATCTCTTCCAGGGATGGGGATGTGGCTCAATGAAAGAGTGCTTGCCTAACATATGTGAGGCTCTGTGCTTCATCCTCATCACTGCGCAGGAAACCAAATTCTCTCTGAGATATTGATTTCATTTCCTTCAGGAAATACACCCAGAAATAAGATTGTTGGATTATATAACAGCTCTGTTTTGAATTCTCTTTGAAAAGCACCTTCCACACTATTTTCCATAGTGGCTGTGCCAAAGTTACTTTTGTTATTGAATATAGAAGCCCCAATGTAGGAACTAGGAAAAAGAATTGTAACAAACTTATTTGTACCTTTTAATTAAAAAGTTTAAATGTGCTAAATGCTTCTTTCTAGAAGCTCTGCTGGTGGCCTTGCCTCTATTTCTTTTTTTTCTAATTGAAACACTGTTTTATTTGAGGCATGAATATCTATAGTTAAAACATACCCCCCTGGATGTCTTGGAACCAGGGTAGCATGTGAGCAGAAGTCTGCTGTCAGGGACTTCCTAGAAAGCTACTGGATTTTTGTTTGTTTTTCCTACAAAGAGCTGCTCACCAGTGGTTTTTTAAAAAATGTTTTTTATTGTGAAAATACTGTCCTAAGGGGTAATAGTT